AGGTGTTTGTTCCCTGTTTACCAGCAGTCTGGATGAGGATTTATGAGTCTCCACTCTTTACATTCCATTTCAACAGAGAAATACAAAAGCATCTGGCAAAAGCTTCCCCCTGCTTTTGAAATAGCACTGTGATTGTTCTCAAGGGTCCCAGGATTGCAGATCCCCTCGTTACCCCCTGCCACTAGTGAGGGGGAGTCTTCCCTCTGGTATCCGGATATCAGCTCCCTGATTTCCCCCCCCTCCCCCCGTCGCCCATGAGCCTCTAAAGCACTCCCCTCGGCTATGCCAGCACTGCCTTCACCTTCAGGTTTACAAGAGGTGCACCCAAGTCCCCTTGAAGTATTCCTCTGTGATATCCAGGCCCTGACCCTGGCTACTCCCAGACCTCTCATCCCAAAGCAGCAGTGTACCCCCAGCAGTGTAGCCCAGTTTTACCTTTAAAACACCACTCGTGTAAACTGTACTTGTAAGCACTTAAATAAATTGTCTTTTGTTTTATTACAAGAAAGACTAGAGGTTCCACTAGAAACCAGAGAGCGAGATGGAAACAAACTATTAGAATACAAAAAAATCATAAAATAAACTAGGGCCTACACTTATTAATAGTAACCTTTCCCCTCTAATCAAGTAAGTTTCCCCCTCCGCCTCCCCCACCAAAGTTCAGTCTGTTGCAGAGCTGTCTGGCTGCCCAGGAACTAGAATCCAATCGTTCATGAAAGACTCCTGTTCAACAAGATGTCTCCTCAGTGAAAGGATGCAGTGTCTTTTTCTCCACTCTGTGATCTACCTAATCAGTCTTCTGTCTTTATCCACACACAGGGCACTTGCCTGTCTGCTATAATGTTCCCTTTTACCTCCATGTGGTTTTGATTGCTAGCAGTTGTCTTTGATGGTTTTCCTTTGACTGCTCTGGGATGAGGCAAGGGTAGGGAATTGAACAATATTTTACATAATAAGCTAGCCATGGCGCAGTGACAACTCCCTCCCGCTTGAATGGGTCCTCACCAAGACACACGATTCCCTGGTGATTGCCTTTTACTCCAAGACCATAAGGGCATGATTTTCAATATAGTCACATTATTCCTTAAACATTACCCATATACACCTCTCACAATCATAAGTATTGATAAGTTACAAGCTTTCAGCAGAGACCTCACCAACTGTCTTTCAAGGATAACTCCCATGAAAGCCATGTATAAGGTGTAGTAAGTTTGTCAGGTCTGAGCCAGGAGTTGTTTGTAAAGAACAGTGAACTCTTTTGCCAGTTGGCATCAGTGGTGTCTGTGTCACAATCATCCATGCATTTTCCTATACGCTATCATCTTCACAATTAACAGGCCAGGAATTGGAACCTGAGTCTTCAGCAGCTTTCATGCTGCAGCCTCAGAACCTTGGATCAAGAGAGAGAGGAACGAGGCCTAAAGCTACCACCGCCCAAGACAAAGAATCACCAGCTGCAGGCTTGCACCAGGAGCAGTGGTGAGTCATGGAGTCCCCCTGTCCCTTCCCACCTCCTCTGAGCAGAGGCAGTGGTGCTATTGTGGAGTCTTCTCTGCTTCATCCTTTGCTGCTCATGAAGGATGTGAAAGAACAGCTGAACACACACATCAGAAAAAAGAGACTCCAGCTCCTGTGGGGCTTGCCATATATAATCCTGAACTCCCTGGCAGCATCCATCCCATCCATCCCAGAGTTCCTGGAATGCACAGCGCTGCTGGAGTCTAAAGAGTACCAGCGGCCACTCTTCAGGGCAGAAAGGCGTAAGCACCTTGAGCGACACCTGAGAAAGAAAATGGTGCATCACAAATGGGGCCTTCCCAAGAGAATCCAGAAGGCTTTGAAATGGTTTATTCCTCCTGAGGCAGCCAAACAGGAGCCCATGCTTGATGAGAAGGTTCCTATATCTACCTCTACACATACAGGACTTTGTGAAGTTTCATGTGGGAGCTCCGAGGCCTGTACTAGCAGGATCTGTCTGATAGCACAGAGATCTGAAGGCAGTGGACAAACCACAGTGACACTAGACACTACATCTGAGACAGCTATAGCTGGAAGCATGAGACATCTTCAGAGATGTCAGACCCGAACATGTCCACAGAGTAAAACAGGAGAGGAGTCTCTGCTGCTGGAATGGTCTATGAATTTCAACCCAGATGCAACTGAGCTGCCAGTGATTGGGGAGAAGAAGAAAAAGCACCTGGAGTTCCAGGGAGGGAAGGAGAACCGTGACCTTTCAGAAGACACTGAGGGCTCCGGGGAGACACTTTTGCTGGGTACAAGTCCAGCGAGCACACAACCGGCTCTCCTCAATGGGGCTCAGAGTGAAATTGGAACTAGCTTCATGGACACACGGTTCAGAAATAACAAAGGACAATGTAACCCGAACCTGGAGCTCGGGACGAAGCTAGAGATGAAATGGGATGTCTCCTACATGTTCCAGGAATCCTCTCCTGCCATGAGACCTCACCCTGCCCAACTCACTTACTGGAAGAGAAAGCCCAGCTCAGGAGCAGAAAAAAGCCCTGTAAGCAGGATCAGTGGGTCTCAAAAATTACCCCATAGGTGCCAAGGGGGATTTTCCCAGGGACTCTTAAGGGCCATCAATCCTCCAGAACAGTCACACTCACAGCTGCTTTCACATGCCAGTGGAGAGGAGGTTCCAAAATCTAACTTTGTCCAGGAAGGACAGAAATTTCTTGGACTAGCTGGCTCTTGTAGGTCAGTAACTATGCACAGAACTGAGAGTGATGCAGCTGAGCCCTCTAGGGCCCTGTTACTGCCAGGGCAGTTAGCCTCACTGGAGGGTGAAAATCAAGAGGCTAGGCCAACGATGGCTCTTACACAGCTCTCTCTGGAATCCCAGTTGCAACCCAGCCCAGCTGGAGTTCCTCTTGCTGAGACTCCCCAGGCTCTCAATAGAGACATGCTGGGGAATAAAAATCTTCAGATTAAATTGGGTTTGCAGAGTCCCTCCCAAGTGCCCATGACCCCCAGCACCAACCCTGCAGCCTCCCTGCAAATTCTAGGAGCTGAGGGTGAAGAAAGTCTTGTTACAGATGACACAAAAAAATACCTTGAATTCCATCTGAGAGAAAAATTGCTGCATCAGAAATGGGGACTCCCTAAGAGACTGCAGGAATCCATGACCCTGTTTCTACTGCTAGAAGCAACAATAAATTAATGCCTTTCTTCCCCAAGGAAGACTGGGATGTGCTGGTCAGGGTCCCCTTACTCTCCTTCAAGGACAGAATTCTACAGTAATTATCATCTCCTCTACATTTTTGTTACCATTAAATATAACTCTGGATATTCATCTATCTAAATGTCCAATCCCTTTTTGAATCTTACATTCCTGGCCTCAATTGTTACCTGCATAAAATTCTCTGTTACTCACACACTCAAGGAGAACCCACACTTACCCTGTTCCTAGGCCTCAGGCGTAACCCTGTCAATTTTCTGCGGGTTTGCAGGACCTTTTACCAGTGAAAGAGCCTTACACAGTAATATCCTTATCCTCTATTTATTAACAATCACCAAAAACAGAATGCACACACTACACATACAATGTTCACCAGTCCCAATAAGACAGATGAACTTTTCTTGAGGGCCAGTCAGGATCAGGTCATCTGGGGAATTCCAGTTTCTACATGGTGTCATTGGCAGAGTGTTGCGGTCTGGCAGCTCTGATGGGGCTGAGTCCTGGAGTTGGTTCCCAAAACTTCTTTTTGGACCCCAATTTATATAGTGAAACCTGAGTCCTGCTTAGCTATACCTTAACCAATCATTTTACTAAAATGTTACTAACCAATTCTAACATATTGTAACAAAATTCTCTAGCCAATTATACCTCACCACCTTAATTAATTTACACCTAGAAAAATTAATTATGTAACAGACAGAAACAATCAAAGAACCAGCCAGAGATCATCCATCAGACAAACAATAGGGAAGAGGGGACTATACTGACAAAACAATAAAGAAGTGAGGATTTCACAACCACGACTATTGATAAGTGACTTCTTGCCAGACAGACGCTAGCAAACTAAGTGTTCTTTAAAAAGCAACAGAGGGTCCTGTGGCACCTTTGAGACTAACAGAAGTACTGGGAGCATAAGCTTTCGTGGTTAAGGACCTCACTTCTTCAGGAGCCAGAATTCTTCTTGCATCTGCAGGA